ACTATGTCCATTCTCCGTAAATTTTCTTTCAGATTTTATATTTCAATTATAAAAATTGTTTAGATATTTATTTGAAAAATATATTATATGAAATAATGTAGTTTCCGTTAAAGTTTAATAATATTAATTTTGAATAAACAATAAGAATCCTGCCAGGCCCTTAAGTGGCTCCTGTTATTTTGGCGAAATAAATGATACATGACGACTAGCAAAAAATAATTAACTATCAGATAAGCGATAAAAAAACAAAATATCCTAGTATATTTCTTTTAATTTTGCAAAGAGAAACAAGTTATTTTTGTAATCAAATAAAAGAAGGCCTATTTTATCGACATTGTCGTTTTACCAACTTAGATGACTACTACTAAAGACAAATGTGCTAACCATATCTGTTTTTATACTACTGTAAGGTTTCTTTGCTAAAAATCACTCATTATCATTATTTATAGTATTAAATATTAAAAGAGTATATGGCAAGTGGCCCGCATCAATTTCGTTCGCAAATTGATAGAACACCTAATTATCACTGTCAGAAAATTATTGTTTAAAAATTAAAGGGCATCCCTTTGTCTCTTTAATTCATTGTTCTTGTTGCCGTATCATTTTTTCCAGCCTGCTTTATCAAAATCAGTGTCGGCAGCCCAATTTTGAACAGCCAGATTCATTACTTTTAGCTTTTTTGGTCGGCTTTAGTGATTTCAATGATCCGTAAATAGGGTATCCAGGTTGTTGTTCTTTAAAATTAAATATGAGCGAGCCCTATACAAATCTTGTATTATTAATTTGAATATTATTATAGATAACTATTAAAATAATATAGGTCAGTTGGCCGCAATATATAAACTGATATTGTGTAGGCCTAAGTGAAGAGCAAAACACACATTTTTTGACAAAGGCATGTCTTTTCAGTCATAGATTAAAATAGGCGAACGTTTAACATTCCAATTATAATTTCTATGTAATTCCATGTAATTCGAACACGTGCAAATATTCAAATTCTAAAGATAAATTCTAAATCACGCTTTTGATATTAAGTAGTTATTAATTAAGTAATAACATCATAAACACGATTAAACATGTGAAAATACTGTGTGATATACCGAACTCATATACTTTGCATGTGTTCATCGGGAGGATTTGGACACAAAAATGGACGGTGTGTACCACGTGACTTTTGCAAACCGGGGAGCGGAATGCCGCAACTGATATGTATGGCTCTGGTCATACTACTCCCCTACATTTCCTCAAATAGAACTCTGTCGTTTTGTTTCGTTATCAAAAACAAATTAGAAAACAGTAGGCCTGAAAATGGTCTACAAATTAAAAATAAGATCAAGAACATGACAAAATTAAGAAAATACCACAAGGAAGAAAAAAAAACCAATCACAATAAAAACAAAATTTAAAATCTATGAAAAGGACAAACGAAGAACTTGAAGTTAAATATACTCGGTATAACGTGCTTCACTTAGTTTAAAATCGAAAGAGATATTACAAACAAAAGCAATTAAAGTCTGTTTCTGGCTGCATTCAAAAGTGACAACAATTAGTGGATTGTTAATCCAATCTAACATTGGTATTTCTGCATACTACCACTCTCATGATTCGTCTCGTCTGGTGGGGATGACCTTAAAACGAGTACGGTACGCTGATATTTATTTATTTTTTTTTTTTGCTATTCATGAGGCATCCATGCAGGTATACAATCGGCTTGTATACAAGGCCGCTAAGAGGAGAAACTGCATGTGTGTAGGGTAATTGTAGTGTTGGTGTGGGCACCAGTTAAGAGTGCGAAGCTCTCTTGGGGGAGGGGGTGTAGCTTTCAATCTGGAGGGGCCATTATAAGTGGCATGCCATTATTGAGGGCCCATGATAGTAATTATATTATTTTCAAAAAAAATCTACCTATAATTTCTATGGGCACCCCTGGTAATCTTGGGCCGACGGGGACCTCCCCCCTTCCCACTCTGTGGCCCTGCTTGTATAGTTTGGCTAGAGGCAATGTAGGTGTAGATACCAATCATCTTATACCTCCTTGCTTCCAATGGCGAATCTAGAGAGTGGTATTGGATGGGGGTCGTATGATTTGAGAAGAGAAGTACTGCTGAAGGAATCTGGTAATGCGAGGGGATTTTCACTATCTCAAATGTGCTTTTCTTTTCAGGTGGAAGTCGGAATCCCAACTCCCCTTCTACCCGTATGTCAAAATTATAGGCTAATTTAACAAATGCTTGCTCCAATTGTTTTCCAACGAGCTCTTCTTGTTTTAGAACTCAAGTCGGGTTCTGAAACATGACGGGTAGGCCTATCACTCATATCAGTGACCAATTTTAGTTGTGTACATTTTTATCGGTGTGACTTCTCATAAGAACTTTCCAACAAAATTAAAATATTGATATCTATTTTGACAGCCCTACCTATTCTTTTTTTAATTTTGTTTTTGTAAATGGATTGTTCCCGCAAATTTATAGGCCTCGGCATTGTCTCTTGTAAAATATAAAAGCCCCTTAGAAATGTAGCTCAATGAATTACTACTTGTACCAATAAGTAATTTATCAACTTTAAAGAGACACATAATCGAAACAGTTCCTTTCTCAAACTACTACATACTATACTACCAAAAAATGATTAAGGTTATCAGATGATCCTGCGTTGAATAAACGTTTCATTTGTTGAGATATTTCCTCGTCTTTATGCACACATTAATATAGTGATAAGCAATTTAATTACATCCAAGACTGTGTTGCCTTAAGGATAGGCACTGCCATGCCTAAAGTCTCTACGCAGAATAATTGTTGACCTTTGTCATAAAAATATAGGCCTACTTCATGGGTTGTAAGGACAATTAAAATCGCATTATAATAAAAGCAAATCATTATCACGCAACTTGTATTCGTTATAATATGGACACTGCCCAATGAAACATGCCTCTAAGAACGAGAAAGACCTTCATACAAAGTAGCAGTTATTGACTAATATTTTCTATTGAAATTATTATGTAGAACATTACGTAAGCCTAATACAAAGCCTGAGAAATTACAATGAGTATCGGTACTTACTTGATTAGGGAGAAATTAAGTGGCCGAAGGGTCGATAGATTTTTAAAAATTTATTTATTACGATATAAAACTACAAAATGGAAGCATTACAAAAAAATAAAAGTTTATTTACATTGACATGACTCTTAACAGAATAGACATTAAAAGAGGCCTATGTATGAAACAAATTACAGATTAAAAAGAATAATTATTATCGGTTATCTTATAATAACTTAATTACTAAAATATAAACAACCATTTATAGAAATAAATACAAAATACTATACACAAACTAAATATATACACACATCAATAAAATTTATCAATAAAATTATTATCATCATCATCATCATTATTAGCGATTTTATGGGATTAAGGCTACTCAGTATTCAGTTTAATTCATTTTTATTAGTCATATTAACACATACCTGTACATGGTAACTGTCTCTCCTAGACATTTCCGTGTGAAAGAATCGAGGTTTACATAAACCTTAGATTATTTATATAATTCTTGAATAAGCGCACCAGTAGTTTCCCCCCGCTAATCCTAAGCATACTTTTCATAATATTTACCCTGATATTTATGACATTAATCTAATAAACATAAATATATTATATACAGTATCTAATTATTCATAAGTCTATTTATATTAACAGATTACTACCCTCTTCATTTTCATTTGCCACTCTGTTATTATAATTCTTCTGTAAGCCTAAAGAGTTGTCAACATCTCTCCAGAAACGTCTCTTAGCTCTTTCTTCGACCTCATCGCCTGGCCAAGTAAGGTACGTTATACTTTTGAAAAGTGTTTTAATTGCGAAATTTGTCTTAGCATCATCTGGTATGTCTTCGTAAACAATCGGCAATATATTCGAGCGTCCTTCGTGAAAATTGAAATATGCTGTCTTCAGCTCATAATTGCACCAATTGCACTTGAAGAAACTCGGTGAGAGCACGATGACTATTGTCCTGCTTTTGCTTATAAAATTAGTAATGTTGTTCTTCATGGCTGCAAGTGAGATAAAACAGGTCTTTAATTGTAATATAAATTTAATGTATATTGTGAATAAAACAATTAGTGTGTATTTTCACTGGGTACTGTAAAATACATGTAGCATAGGCCTATTACCGATAGATAAAAGATATATTTTTACTTTGTATTTTGCATTGCATATTAGGCCTTTCCAGTCGGTAACAGGATCATCATCATATTTTTCATTTTACTTGCTAAACTGATGCTAAATCTGAAGCCTTAGGCCTAGATCTTGAATTACTATTATTGCAATGAACAAGTTTCTTCAATGTGAATACCATGCGTGGGTGAACAGAGGGACTCCTTATAGATTGAAGTATATATAATTCAATCTATAAGGTTAGTGGAATCATGGAGGTATAAAATCTATTTTTATACCTCCATGGTGGAATTAAGTTCTTTTCAGTATGCACACTCCTGCACCCACACTAAAATTTATAGGCCTATTAGGTTATTCCAGATTCCATTTTTGAAATCAAACTTAAATTTAAAGGTAAACATGAAACACAAAACCAAGATAAAATATTAAATAAATGTTCTGGTGTATCCAGTATTGCTTTGAATTTTATAGAAAGGCTCCTGATAGCAGCATGAGCAGTGCAGAAACTGCGTTTTACAGGTACTGTAAGTTTGTTGATAACGATACATTTACAAAAGGGTAGAGAGATACTTTAAAAATAGTCCGTAATCGGTCATCTCCCTAATAAAACTCAAAATTCACATTGTATTTGGCAAGCCTGTCAAATGAAATGAACCCTAACACACTCCATTTCATAGAAAAAATCCACAACCTCTGCAAACATATCTGCGCAAGCGCAGTATACTAAAAAACTAACCATCTCCAAGCAGAAAGCACTTGTAGTCAACACACACTGTACATCCCTTTTGTTCCAACCAGGGGGTTAAAGACCTCACAACGAAGTCTTCGTCTTTTCCGTCGCTTTTATACGAAATGTAGCAATCGTATTCTTTGCCTTGGTCTGAAATGAAAGCACGTAATATAATAAAGGCTAAGTAGTCGTAGGTGAACTATACAAAATTACCCCAATGGATAATATGACCCTTATGCCATTACATTGTAATTATTGTTATAATAAACATACACTGGGTTTCTGATAAAATATTCGGAAGGGAGCCCTCAAGTTTGCAAACTTATTGTGAACGTAATTTCCATCTTTTAAAACGTTGATGATAGTAAAAATACAGTAACCTCTTCAAGATTATTATAATTTATTAGTGCTTTTAGATTTTATAGCAAAGCAAAAACATTATTTTACAAAACAGTATTTACGGACAGACCTATCTATAAAACTGATATCCGAATATACTGAATAATGATCCATTTAACACTTTATGGGGCTCAATGGGTTCTTTATTAAGCAATTGTTAACCGTAAATATTTATTAAAGAACCCTCTGACATCCCATATTTGCTGCGAAGCAGCCAATTCATATTCTTGACAGCAATTTGACCTCTGAAAGGTCACTGTTTGTCAAAAAATGAGTGGCTAAGACGACTGAAAAGCGGAGTTTCCTTCTTTCGTTCTGCTGGGTAAAATCAATTACTTTAGGCGACGTTTGTAGACTAACCTACTCGTACCAACGTCCGCATGTCGCGCTAGCCTTATCCTACTCTAGGCCTAGACTAGTTAGGATGGTATAGGCCTAGCCTTGAAGGAACGAAGGTCCCAATGAAAAACAATGTCGCTCTTTGATAGCTAACATTGTCTATTTAACATCACAATAATTCATTATTAGACCTATAGTTGTTTTTTGAATTGTACTCCACAAATCTCAGCCGATACCTCGCACAACTGGTTAACGTCTCTATCTATTGTCGTGACGTCATGGCTCACTGGCTCACATTTGTGATATGTCTCGCACTTGTGATCAAATAACACGCTGGCTCGCACTTTGGCAACACTCTTTGGCAGTCAACTCGCCCCTAGAAAACCCGCCCTTGGAAACTTGCCCCATAAAAAAATGTACACTTCCTAGACCATGCAGTCTTCAAAATAAAAATTTTAACCTTTGGTAGTCAACTACATTTTCCACATACATAGAAATTTTTGAAACTTTATTAAAAAAATACCTAAACCATAATTCACCACACTACTATAGACACTTTTGACAAAAATGAAAAATTACGACTTTGTTACTCAATGAGAAGTGTTCTAATATAGAAAATGGGTCGTGTCTCATATTATTTGTTATAGTTTTATTATTCATTATTTTCACTTGACTCGCATAAATAATTTTGTTCGAAGAACATTTATATGCAGTTGTACTTAGCAGCACTTCACTTGCAATTTGCAATTTCTAGTTAATAACTTATAAGCCGGGCATTCATTTCGTTGTACGACCGTTGCCCAAAGAATCCTACTCCATTTTCTGTGAGCGCTCGACGCGACGCCGTCTCTGGATGTCGTTGGCAGTCTGAACGGATTGTCAAAGACGTGAAGTTCTGTCAAAAGAATGGCGTCGGCCGACGACCGTCGGGCGTAGTGAATGCTCGGTAGGTCTAAAGGCCAACTCAGACAGCGTCGCACGACGCAGCCCGACGCGATTTGTTGTCGCGTCGGGTCTGTGTGAGTTAAACGCAGACGCGATGGTTTGCGTCGGGGGCAGTCGCGTCGTGGAATATTAAACATGTTTAATATTTCTCACGACGGCTTAAGACTGTCTCCGACGATAAATCGGGTTGGGCTGCGTCGGCCGACGCTGTCTGGGTTGGCCTTAAAGAAAGCAATTTATACAGTGTATACTGAATTTAAGTAGGTATTGATTTCGGCTTTTCTTCATACAGATTATATCAAAACATACGAACCTGGTTGGAAGATTCGTATGTAACGAGAAGCCAGAAATGTCTGTACTACATATCTATGCTTGTAGGTTAGTAGAAATAGAATAGCCAAAAGCAAGATAACACCAGATACCATCGTCGGTATTATAATGTCCAACCTAGGACCTGGACCTGTGAAAGAAATTGGATTATTAATAATAGCGAGGGATCATTGCGAGAACGGTCAGCCGTTGAAATTTAATTCTTGATATTATTAATGATATTTGTAATTTATATTAATAATAATAATAATAAATTTCATAATAATAATTGATATAATAATAATATAAATAATGATAATGATGGTGATAATAATAATGACTTAAATGATAATAAAAATGTTGTTGATGATGATAATGTTAATAATAAATGATAAAGAGCATAATAAAGAGATTATTAATAATTTGAATATGCATTCCTTAAAACCAAAATACATTAAAAAGGCATATTTGGTGACGTCACCTCTAGAATAGGTTCTTCTGCAAATAATAATAATAATAATAAATTTAATGATAATAATTGATATAATAATAATATAAATAATGATAATGATTGTGATAATAATAATGACTTAAATGATAATAAAAATGTTGATAAAGATGATGATAATGTTAATGATAAATGATAAAAAGCATAATAAAGAGCATAATAAAGAGATTATTAATAATTTGAATATGCATTACTTCAAACCAAAATACATTAAAAAGGCATATTTACGATTACCTACCTACCACCACAAAACTACCGACAGTTGCAAATGATGATCCTAACGAATTGTTTGCCCAGCATATGACTACAGCTTTGTCGAAATCAGTGGTAACATCGTTTAACTCGAGGTTTTCAGTGTTAAAATACAGAATACGACCGTCTGTAAATTTTACGCTCCACATGTAAGATATTGGTGTTGGATTGGCCGAGGCGTTACATGTCATCAGTACATCATCTTTGGCATCAATTTTTATAGATTCTGGGTTGACATTTACAATAGGAGTGTCTGAAGAAAATCAGTTGAAGCATGTATATAAAAGGAACGTTTACTTATTATTATTAAAACTTCATAAATTTATTCGAAACATTCAAATATACATAAACGTAAAAGTTGAGACAGATGTACATCAGCGCCCTAATCATCATCATCATCTTTATCATCATCATCATCGTCCGCGTCACCATCATAATCATTATTATCATCATCATCGTCATCATCATCATCACCACCACCACCAACATGATCATCATAGTCAACATCATCATAATTATCATCCCCATCTTCATTATGTTCATCATTATCACCATAATAATCATCAGTCGTCATCATAATTATAATCATCATCATCATCATTGTCATCAACATTAATCATCATCATTTACCGCTATCGTCATCATGAATGCACTGATTAATCGTTCGATTGTTTTGATTGTTGCACCAACCGATATATATAATGTTCATGAAGTGGATAGATGGAATGATTAATTGAATGATAATTGGTTATATTCAACATTTTCCATGTCTAATTTTAACCATGTATTCATATAAGAAACGTACATGTTATATTTAGTATGATGGAAATATTTCTCTTGCCGAAGCCTGGGCTCGTCGCAACACACATGACCTCTTTATTATTATCATCTTTTGATGCAGTTTTTGAAAAATAAGTCGTTACGTTGAATAATGAACCGCCAAACGCCGTGTGCGATTTAAATGGTTTCACGAATGATGCATCTAAAACCCATTCTAATTCAACGATAGGTTTACTGAGGTTAGTTTCACATTTTAAATCGATAAGACCACCGTCTTCGACTTCATATACACCTCGGTTTACATTTCCTAACAGTCTTGGAAAGGGCTCTATTGGGTCGACATAAACAACAATTTGTGACTCAGAATAATCAATGGTATCATCCACAATACTGTAACCAACATAACATCTGTAGATGGATTCATCTTGAAGAGTCACATTGGTGATAATCAGTTGGCTAACACCTATCGTTGTGTTTTCAACGATTTGTATGTTGTCAGAATTATTCAGTGTCGAATAAATACTAGGTATTTCTCGGCCTTTCACCCAAGCTATCGTTCCGACCTCTGGTTTCACTCTGCAGGTCAGCGTTACAGACCCTCCACACTTGACGGTTTGGTTCGATGGTACCTCAATGAATGGATTAGGAATGCCTAAATGTAAACAGAAACAAAATAGATTATAGGTCGGTATGGGAAACATTTACTTTATTCTGAATAAATGTAATCAAATAAAATGCCAAAAATTCAAAAGGTGTTCAAAAATCTTTTTGGATTAATTTTTAATCGTTGTTACCTGAAAACAAAAACTGAAAATATTACTGTTTGATGTTAGTCTTAGTGAACGTGCATCATCGTGAACTGTTCGTACGTAACTCTATTGCATTTTGGAGGTTAATGCTTAAACCAGGTCAGATAATATAAAGGGAAAAAAAACCAGGAAAACTACACTTCAACAGAAGAGGAAAATAGAACCGGAAAGATCAATGTTAAGTGCAACAAAATGGACTCCTATTATGTGTATATATATTATAGTAAATAACCTTCAACCCAAATATTAAGGAACATTGGAACTGCCAAAACTCATGCTTCTTTCCTTGTGGCATGTGCAACAGAAATGTGTACAGTTACGACTAAGTGTGATAAATAAATTCATATACAGTAGATTTTGCACTATTTTCAGATGAAACAACCTCTCCGAGCTCAATGACAAACAAATCAGACCAAGTAGGCCTATAACTACCGACACTGTCTCTTATACACATCTAGATGTGTATAAGAGACAGCATTTACACCCCTCCCGCATACCAGT